CGAGATCATTCTCTACTGACTGTCCCATGGGATCCACTGCCCACCACACACATCCCCACACCTTGGTGGCTCCTTTCTCCGCATGTTTCTCAGGAGCTCAGCCAGGCAGCCAGCAGCGGGAGGCCCCCACACCGCTGGTCCCTGAGAAAGTGCAGTCTCCCAGCCCCACAGTAAACCAGCCCAGGCAGAGCAAGGCCAGGGAGAGGCAGCCCCAAAGCTATGATGGCAACTGGGACTCCCCGTCCCTCGCCCTCCTGACAGGACAGCCAACGCTCAGTGCTGGGCAGGCTGGACACTCTCCAGAGACCAGGCTTCTGGCCCGGAGCACTGCGCCCAGGGGACAAGGCTCCGGTTCATCCCCACAGCCCACTCCCTGTCCGCCTGCCCTTGAGGGCCCTGTGGCCCGTTCTGGGAGGGTTCTGTGTGGAAGGCGGCGGGTTCCCAGTTTCCCCAAGCTCCGCCCCTCGCCCGTGGCTTTTTAGTCCCACAGCTGCTGAAGTGGAAAAGCAGACGCTGTCTGCCCTGTTAAATCTGACTTAGGAAACAGAGGGCTTTCAAAACCTGATCGTCCATTTGAGTCAAAAAGTGCAAGGGTTCTAATGACGACGGCATGGCCTCACTAGCCAGTTGGGGCCACACTGAAATGTACTTCCTCACTCATCAGAAGTCGGAGGGCTAGGACCACATAAATCTCAAATAATCACATTGTACTTTTGCTGAGGAAACAGGTGTTTTACGCCCGAGACACAGGAGCAGGCTTCTCCGCTCGGCGAGCCCTGGGTAAGCACTTACTCCCAAACCCGTGGCTGCAGCACGTTATTTCTGCATCTTGTTGGATAATCACACCCGGGCACAGCAGCTCAGATTTGACTCCCGGAAGAGCTTTGGCCGAGGCTGGGCAAAATGAAGTAATATTACTAGACCCCACCTGAGCCCTGTTCTCCCCGGGCACCTGCCGTGCTGACTCGGAGATGCTGGAACCACCTGGCCTTCAGTGCCCTGGTCCATTTTGAACTATTTTGCAGTCCTTGCTTTAGTTTCACGAAGGATCATTTTCCCAGACAGTAAAAACACTGGATTCCCCATCAGCTTCCAGGAGTCACACAGGCCCTCGGCGGCACTCACTCCGGGCCCGGGGAGGAAGCGGCACTGGAGGCCCGTCTGCACGGGGAGCCAGGCTCTGCTTTCCTGGTGATTAATTTCCCTTAAAAATGACAAAGGCAACCTGGCCAGTGTCGCTCAGTGGTTGGGCATCATCCCATTCACCAAGAGGTTGCTGGTCCAATTCCCGGTCAGGACACATGCCCGGGTTTCAGGCTCCATCCCCAGTGCAGGAGGCAGTCTATCCATGTTTCTCTCTCATCAATGCTTCTATCTCCCTCTCCCTTCCTCTCTAAAAACAATAAAAAACAAACCATTCCTAATACAAAATCAAGAATGACGAAGGTTAAAAAGGTGCCTTTACGGTGGAGTCTGGCAGCCTCACTGGACGAAGTGCTTGACTCTCAACCCTGAAGTCTCCCAAGCGCGCTTACTCCACAGCTCACCACACATGCAAGGCTCGCCCACACCCAGGGCTCACAGGCCAGCGGCCAGCACTGCTCAGAAACCTGCGTGAGGAACGCTAAGAACCTGGGGCGGGGGTTCTGTATTAAAGGGAATCAGCAAGGAAATGGCATGTTTGAAGCTTGGTGGTATTCTATCCAGGGAAAAACAGCTGTAGAAAATTGACTTTGGAACAAGGGGCAGCATGAACCTGGCCTGCCTGCCGACAGGGTGGCGAGTGCTGGTGTCCTCGGGGAGATGATGGCACCGAGGGCATGGGAGGGTGTCCTGCCTCAGGAGACACAGGCCAATGGTTCAGGAGTTCGGTGTCACAATCTCTATTTTCTGGTGATTACAGCCAGAACGTGTGTGCAGTTGCACATGTCTGCATATACAGAGAAAAAGCAAACGTGGCAACTGTTAGCAATTGGCGAAGAAACGAGAGGAAGAATTTGCCCTTTCTCTGGAAACAATTCTGACAAGTAGAATGAAAGGAATATTCCATTGAGTCTCCATAGAGGATAATTTTAAAGTGCCTTCAACCATTTTACTTGGGCCAGAGTCTGTATTTCACTCCGCCTGGTGAGGGGCAGGAGGCCAGGAGGCGGCCCGGGTAGACGGGCATGGGAGGTGAGAGGGGCCCAGAGCCGGCCCCCTGGAGCAAGAATAAGGCAGAGACTACGAGGGGTCGTCAGTCTTTGTCAGACACCTCGCTCCCACTTGGGGGAGTGGGAAAGCGTGGACCCGATAACCTGCAGGAGGCCAGCTCATACATCCTGGCTCGGACACGCTCAAGGTCAAACCGCTTGGCTCCAGGGGCCCCGGGACACAGGACACATTGTTTTCCAATGCACAGGCCTCGGTGTTCCCGAAGGTACCTTAGAACATTCAAAGCTGGCCCCACATTCCCTTTCATCATCTTATCCTGCAAACACCATTTTTCATCATTACCCAGCTCTCAAGATAAATGTCACCTGTGAACTCCCCTCCCGCCGCCGCCCATCCGTGCAGCACCCGATACAAAGCGTCAGGCTGAGAACAGGCGAAGCTCCCGTTCCCAGGCCAGACTCACCTCCCCAAGACAACCCGCTGCACCCACCTACGTGACTCCCCTGGACCCGCTGCACCCACCTTTCGTGACTCCCCTGGACCCACTACACCCACCTACGTGACTCCCCTGGACCCGCTGCACCCACCTTTCGTGACTCCCCTGGACACACTGCACCCACCTATGTGACTCCCCTGGGCCCACTGCACCCACCTACGTGACTCCCCTGGACCCGCTGCACCCACCTACGTGACTCCCCTGGACCCACTGTGCACACAGCCTGAACCCTGTGTGTGCAGGGATGAGGCCCTTCAGGGGCTCCCAGCGTGAAGCTGCCTCCACGGTTACAGCTGCAGAGCCAGGGTGTGTCTTGGAGCAGATTCTACACGACCCCCAAAGCCAAGTTCATGTCCGTTTCCAGCCCCTTTCATGGCTCCGCTGTCTCATGGTCAGAGCTCCCCCTCTTCCCCCCACAACTCTCCTCCAGGCACTTAAGACTGCACCTAGAGCTGGGAGGGCTGCACCCCAACCCCGACCTCTGCAGGCTCCACTGACCCAGATCCGGATGTTGACGAAAGCACCACCAAGCTTCCCAAACTCCTGTCCACCCCCCTCAACCTCTTCATTTAAAGGTACCCACTCCTGATGCGTACCTATCAGGACGTCTCTAGAAATCTTCACTCTCACCGCTGCTGAGCCCGCGGGTGGCACTGCTGACCTGGCAAGTCCCAGGAACTATCAGCCTCTGAACTGCCTGGTAAGAGGGGTCAAGAGCCAGCCCCCTGAGCAAGAATAGGGCAGAGACTACGAGGGGTCGTCAGGAGCCTGCGTCAGAGAGAAAGGTCTGTCGCTAAGCAGAGGTTCTTCTTGAGGAAGGAAAGACATCCCAGCCCTGCCCTGCGAGTGGCGTTGCTTGCACCCTGACCACCACCTGGCACACGTTTCTTGTTGAAAAGCCCCTGAATGAAGTGCAGGCTCCAGCACGCTCGACACCTCAGCTTCTTTGTTGTCCACGTTTGGAGCCCGCTGGGGGACTCCGAGCAGGAGGAACAGCCATGTCCGAGATGCGTTACAGCTAACCTGAACTGAGTTCTCCATGTTTCAAAACTTAGCCCGTGTCCTGGCTGGTTTGGCTCAGTGGATAGAGCGTGGGCCTGCAGACTGAAGGGGCCCGAGTTTGATTCTGGTCAAGTGCACATGCCTGGGTTGAGGGTTCAATCCCCAGTGTGGGGCGTGCAAGAAGCAGCCGGTCAATGATTTTCTCTTATCATTGATGCTTCTCTCTCCCCCTCTCCCTTGCTCTCTGAAATCAATAAAAATGTATTTTAAAAAGAAATGTTACCACAATAAAATGAAATTAAAAAACAACAAAAAACAAAAGAAACTTAGCCCATTAGTTTAGAGACACGCAGAGACACTTGGGACTGCACATTGTATGTCTAGTCATGAGCTGCTGACACTACTTGATAGTGTGTGGCAAAGGGGAGTCTGACCGGAGGGGCCTCCCTCAGGTCCGGCAGCTTCCCAAGGCGGCCCCGTGGAAGGACAGCACACTGTAGGGTTAGTGGGTATGTATCCTATACAAAGTCATATGCTCAACACAAGTCTTGGTGACTTTTTGCAATAAGTGACGGTGACATTTAAAGCGAGCCTCCCCATTTAAGAGGAAAGCACATTCTAAGGGTGACTCTTCAGTCATTCTGCGTATCAGCAGGCTGCCCCATGTCTCACTCTTCCCAGCCCCCAGCTCAGCAGGAGCCCCAGGAAGTTCAATGCTGTTTAGAAAAGTGCATCACGACCTGAAATTGATGGGTGTAAGTGGCCAACACGGACAGGGAGCATGTGCCGCACCGAGTCACAGCTTCAGAGGTGTCACACGAACGACCCACTCACACTACACGGCACCGACATTTCCTCGGCTCACAGTAATCCCTCACTTTTCTGGAACACCTGCATTCCAAATGCTTAATCAATTAAATATCAGGCACCATACTTAACTGATAGCTTCTGAACTTTTAACTAATATGTTTAGAAAGATAAAAAACATGTCAATTTCTTTATAACTGCACCCTCTAGTGGCCCATCTTGTCTATGAAAAACAAGAACCACACAAGTCCCATTGCACTCACCCTCGTCTTGTTACTCAGAGAACACTGTCCAGTGTGTCTGCCCATGCCTCCTACACACACACACACACACACACACACACACACAGGTGCACAAGCCCTGACAAAACTGGTTTACAACACACACAATATAATCGTGGATCAAAAATCATCTCAAAATATAATACTGTAAATACAACAGACCATGATATGGCTCTCCCCAGTTTTTATAGCCAGCAGAGTAACCGGCCTTTGGGTTAAAAGGGCGCCTGGCAGACAGGTCCCTACATTCTCAGCGAAGGCCTTCCTTGCAAGGCCTTGGTGGCGAGCTCGGCTCGCTCCCGCAGCGCACTGGCCTCCTCAGCACTGCGGTGCGCCTGCACGCTCTTTAGCAAGAAGTGGCTGATGAAGAGCTTCAAACCTTCGCGCAGCACACCCAGCTTTGGGTTGTCGGACACCCTGGAAAGAAATCGTACAAACTGTCAGGCACGAGTTGTCTACCTAGCTCTCCATTCTAGAAGTCTTGGATGGGGAGACAAACTATTTCTTTTAAAAAGAGAACTCTCGCCCAGGCCTGTGTGGCTCAGTTGGTTGGAGCGTCGGTCCCGTACACCAAAAGGTGGCAGGTTTGATTCCTGGTCAGGGCACATACCTAGGTTGTGGGTTCGATCCCCAGTTGGGGCACATGTGGGAGGCAACTGATCGATGTTTCTCTCTCTCTCCCTGCCTCCTTTCCTCTCTAAAAAATAAAATAAAAAGAATTTGCAAGGAAGAATTTAACATACCCTATTTGCAAGAAATCATTACTAGTTTGCTATCAGGCAGGTTTCCTGTTCCCGAAATCTAATGTATAACATACTGTACTAGCTTAAAACTAAAACTGACTTAACCCTTTGAATGCCAACCAATATCCTAGGAACTATGCTAAAATCGCCAAGGCATTTTTGCTGATTTTACAGCAGTTTAGGAAAAAAATTATGAATCGCAAGTAAATGAAGTTACATATTCAAAAACTTAAGGAAACCTTTACTACATTTGTAAATCTGCACTTAGGTGCCATCTGTCAAAAAAGAGTGAACTACTAGCATCTAATAGTGACACTGCAGCAGGAGCTCGATAGTGCTCCCGGCACTTTTGGCAAAAGACAGGAGGAGCACGATCGCGCTCCCCGGCACTCTAGGGGTTAAGTAGACGCAGAGTACAACCACCTTGCTTTTACCAGTGAGGAGTGATGTGTAAGTGGGAACAGCGCCCTCTCTTTCCCACGATGTGTGATGTGTCAGCACAGCTGGGACCATACCTTGCGAAAATGAAACAGATGTCTTCAGCTTCTGTTCCCATCAACAGCACATGTAACACTTCTCGTAAAAAGTGGACTCTGGGTTTATCCAATTCACTGAACTCAATCACCTAACAGTCAGGATAGGAAGAAAAATAAAGTTACATTGATTTAGTCAACTTTTCCAATAATTTCTAAATAGAGTAAAACACCCCCCCCCCCCCCCCGAGTTAAATAAGGCTACGTCCAGCTTTATAAAATGACGGAAAGCCTACGCACTGCTGGTGGGGGGTGGGGGGTGTCCAGCAGGCACTTAATTTCTAGACTTGAGTGAGCAAAAGCACAAGCAGAATTTTAAGCACCAAATATAAACAACTGTCATCACTGTCATTGCTTTCAGTAGTTCCATCTATCTGACAAACCTTTAAAATGGAAAGTGGGAGTGATTTTGTCTTCAACAAGTGGGCCACCAGATAAACCAAATTGGAGAAGTTGGTGGCTGGTAAGTTCTCTAAGTCTCGAAATTTGTCCCATATGCTGAACTGGAACGTCATCTAACGTAAGAACGGAAAAGAAGAAAAGTTTAAACGCAACAAGTTATTAGAACAAATGACTAAAAATACGATCTAGCCCTTGTCGGTTTGGCTCAGTGGATAGAGCATGGGCCTGTGGACTGAAGGGTCCCTGGTTCGATTCCGGTCAGGGCACATGCCCAGGTTGCGGGCTCAATCCCTAGTGTGGGGCGTGCAGGAGGCAGCCGATCAATGATTCTCTCTCATTATTGACATTTCTATCTCTCTCTCCCTTTCCCTTCCTCTCTGAAATCAATAAAAATATATTTTTAAAAAAAGAATACAATCTAAAGATACTCTGCTTATTCACTCATTTGTAGTATCTTAAAAATCAAGACTCTGAGGACAACTCCACTGTCCTTTCTGATGCACAGGTGACAGGAGACAGCCACACGCCCCTCAAGGCAGCAGGAACGTTGGAAAAAGACAGTTTGGTGCGGCACCAGAAGCACTCTGCCGGTTACTGGGCTGTGACAGTCCCTCACCTGTGCCCAGAAAGGTAACATGGCAGACACGGCTTTGGTTGTGGTCAGCTCCTCTCCCGGGGACCTAAGGTCCCACCTGGGGTGGGCCAAGCCTGACAGAATGCTTAGAGGACAGCGGAGCGCAGGGACCTGTCAGCCTTCTAACAAGTTACCTGGAACCTCCTCTCATAGTCGCAGAACTTGCCGGCCAGGAAGGCGTAGAAAGGGTTGTATGTTTTCTCCTGCAGACAGCAATCCATGAGAACGTGGACTATTTCCCTTTCCTGCTGGTCCTTAAGCCCAAGCCTACAAAACACAAACAGCAACGGGGAAATTTCAATTTGCCAAATCTCAACAGGTTTAAGGCAGAGGCCTTTCCAGGGCCACACCTCTCTGGCAGTTTGGTTAAAGGGAGTGGCGCAGAGGTGGGGTAACAAGGCAGGAGCGACAGGCGGGGTCCTGTCCCCGGCCTTAGTGTTTCTGGCCGTGGTGACCATGGAGTCGACACCGATTGGTGAGTCTTGTGCCAGCTACAAAGGCCTGGCACTGGTTCCCGAGGGACAAGAAACAGGACGAGCACTGGACTGTGAGCCTCATCGCCAGGTTCCTGCCATCGACCTGACTTCCCACAGAAGCCCGCTTCCTTCCAGTGCAGGGCCCAGTTCAGACAAGTGTCCAGTCCTGTACTATTTCCCTCTATTTCATTCTGAATTTGAAGCAAATAAGGAAAATTCCTATCACTCTCTTTAGGAGTGCCTTGCACAGGCACTTTTTAAATCTTATTGCAACTAACTACAGAAATGATACCAGACCATTTTAAATGTAATCTGGAGATTTTAAGCAATTCATGACAATCAGCAGCCACTGAGAACTGCCAGCTGGTCACCTGAAAATAATTTTTGGTTAATCCTCACCTGAGGATACATTTTTTCACTTATTTTTAGAGAGTCTGAAAGGAAGGGAGGAAGGGAGGGAGAGATAGAGAAACACATCGATTGGTTGCCTCCTACACGCACCCCAACCAAGTACGTGCCCTTGACAGGAAATCAAACCCGAGACCCTTCCGTGCTCAGGCTGATGCGCTAACCACTTAGCACACCTGCCAGGGCTCACCTAAATTTTAATGAAAATGTACTATAACCTGGAAGTACGAGCAGCAAGTGGGTAAGAACAAGGATGCTGAGCCCAGACACTGGGTCCAGGGGAGGAGCAGGCCGGCCCAGCAGCCTGACCCCAGATGCAACCTCAGCTCCTCTGACTCCCTCAACATCTGTTCAAGTGGGCCACGCGTTCACACAATGCTTACTTTAGAAGCTTCTCAAATGCGTCCAAGAAATCTTCACTAGTCATAATCGTACAAAATATGTTTCTCCTGACATCAGTGTTCATTCTCTGCTTTCGGGCGAGTTCCAGCATCTTGGCGCTAACCTGAAAAGGGGGACGATTGAGATGTGGGTCACTCAAGTTTTAATGAGATCTGTGACTCTGGTTAAGCTGCAGTCGGTAGAGTTAGTTTCTAAAAAATAATGTGTATGATTCTGTGGCTTGCCCTAAGCGTAACTGTAAACTGTAGGCACGCATATGTAAATGCAACATCTTTATTCTTGGGTAACTCCCCAGGCGAGAACACACTGGGCGTGGGAGATTGCCGTGGCAACAAGGAGATATGACAGAGGTGAGTGGCCATAGCCAGAAGAGCAGTGGTGATGTGGGATCCTGGGACAGAAAAAGGGCTTCAGGGGGAAAAAAGAAACTAAAGAACATGTGGACTTCAGTGAGTATAAAGTATAAAGAAGTGCACAGAATTTTGCCAATCTGAGCTCCGGGTTAGTGCCCAGCAGCCACATTTCCTGGGAGGCAATGTGTCTGTCTCAAGAGCCGGTCTGTCTGCAAGTGTTCTGATGTTCTGTGCCCTCATCCAGCTTGTAACTCTTTCATGTAACGTGTTTTGGGACTTGAAACAAATCCCTTATAAAGTAACAACAGAAATTGAATTAAATCATATCACAAAATAGTACCAACTTCTACAAGGTCTGCAAATAAGCCCATGTCTGCCCATCTCAATACCATCCAACAAAGAGGAAGGTGGCCACTCGAGGGAGAGCCAGGGAGGCGCCGTGGGGACAGCCACACGCCTGGTCGAGGTGAGCTCGGTGCGTACCATGCCTGCCAGTGGCTTCTGCGGGGCCTTCTGCTGACTGCTGATCATGGGGGCCCCGCTCCAGGCCGACCCCACAATCCACCAGCGCCCCGTCTGCTCGGCATTCAGGACGCTGTCCCAGGACACGCGCAGCTGAGATTCTGTGCCCGAGCCGGCGCCACGCACCTGACGGGAGGAAAAGGAGCTGGTGAAACGCTTCAGATGGACCAGTCTGTCTGCCGACCCCCTCCCCCAGCCTCCTGTGTCTGACAATGGCATTTCTGCTGCGTGCACACTGTGATGAGTCACTGACAACTGGGACGTCACCATGTGGAATAATGCCAAGTGAGAGGCACTCTCCCAGGATCCGTGTCTGAGGTCTGCGGGCCCATCCCCCCCGCCCGCTGTCTCTGGAATGTTGTCACAGCAGAGCAAGAGGCTCAGGCTCAGGCCACAGGGAAGCTCCGTCTGGCTGGTGGTGGGAACACGACCTAGAGGGGCCTGGGGTCTGCTGAGTCAGTGGTTCTGGATCTGACTAAAGAAAGGGCAGACTCGCCCTGACAGGGTCTCATGTAAAAAATACCCAGGGAGCTTAAATTAAATAGACAAGCCCCCTCCTCCGTGCTGAAACGCCTCTGGTCCTGATGGGGCCCCCTTCTAAAGTCATCAGAAGGTTCTATTGTGATTCCGATGTGCAGGCGAGTCCAGCACTACAGGCTAAGTCTCGGGGATGCTTAACTCCCAGGGACTCCCTGCACACGGCCACTCACTGGGTCTCACCACACAAACTCCTGCTGACCAGGCCAGGCACCTGACTCACAGCTCCAACTACCTCCCAGACTTCCATGCTGGGCTCACGTCCACATGGAGGCTCAAACCAGTCACAATCAAAGTGACTTACCAAAGCCCTTTGCAATTTCCTCAGTTTCTCTACAGGCTCAGGGTCATAACCCGGAATTTTCCGCATGTCATTGTTCTTCAGTGCCAACATCGTCTCCAGCATAAACCGAATCTTAAAAAAAAGAGAGAAAACATCATTTCAAATTGTCTAAACAACTGACCTTTCAACTTGGGAATAAATAAACCAACTCTGCACGTGGCCATCACTGGAGATGGTCTCAGGCAGACCATCTCTACTGCAGCCTTTGCAGTATTTTAACAGAAATTAGATCCAGCACGGACCTCCACTGGGCTCTGACCACTACCCACAGATCTCGCTCCCTCTCCTGCTCCACTGCCCACTCCCGGCCCTGTGCTCTGAGTCACTCCTCCTGTTGCCATTCCTTCCCTACTCATGGCCTTTTTATTTTTTCAACTTTTAAACTGAAAATGTTATACTTAGAGAAAAGTTGCTAGAATACTACAGACACTTCCCAGAAACCCTTTTCTGAGATTTCTCCAATGTTGACTTTTTAAAAAATAACATTTTTATCGATTTCAAAGAAGGGAGAGGGAGAGATAGAAGCATCAATGATGAGAGAAAATCATTGATATACTGCCACCTGCACACCCACTACTGGGGATGAAGCCTGCAACCTGGGCATGTGCCCTGACCAGGAATAGAACCGTGACCTCCTGGCTCATGGGTCACCACTCAACCACTGAGCCCCGCCAGGCGGGCAAATGTTGGCTTTCTTTGGTATAATTCATATACCATAAATTCACTTATTAAAAGTGTATGCTTAGTATATTCAGGATTGTGCAACTATCTCCACAATTTTAGAATTTTCATCACTCCTCCCCCCGAAAAGAATCTCAAAACACATTAACAGGCACACCCCAATTCCCCCAACCCTCAGCCCTAGGCAACCACGAGTGTACTTCCTATCTCTGCTGACTTCTGTGTTTTAAGTTTGACCTCTGGGCACTCAACGCGGGGGCAACTTCTTTTCCAGAACACTCCTGCTTGGCTCCTGTGACCTTCCTGCTTCCTTCTCTCGACCATGCAGCCCCAATGTCTGACTGTCAGCTTTGCAACCATGGCCTCAGGACCTCCTCAGAGGGCTTAGACCACACCTCCCAGCGAACCCGGGACCGTCATTTCGGGATTTCAGAAACCAGCCAGTCTTCCCTTTTGAGCCTGTGTCCTCTCCTGTGTGTGCTGCTGTCCACTGAAGGCCCCAGCTGAGAACCTGGGCTGACTGACCCCCTCCACTCCTTGCTTCCCTCCCACCCACACCAGCCTGGTCAATCTTGACTCCCACACCCACGTCCATACAGCTGAGCTGATCCTTGCCACTGCTGTCTCTGACCCCTGCAGGGGCGTGTCCCTGCCTGACCACCTTCCTCTTGTACGTTGTAGCCAAAGTGACATTAGCGCGAACACTTCCCATGTTCTTTTCCCACTCAGAACCCTTCAGGTGCCTCCAGAATAAAAGCCAAAGTCCTTGCAATGGCCTCTGCCCTGCTCCCCTATGGGCCCCACACGAACCGGGGCTTCTGTGCCCTCCTCTATCTTTGAATCTGCAGAATAGAAAATGAGGTAGGAACCATGCTCACCCCTTTTTCTACAAGGGGAAACTGAGGCTTGGAAGACTCCGGTCACATTGCTGTTAAGTGGCTGAGCCTGAACTCCAGGTGAGCTGACACCTGAGCCCCGAGCCCCGTGGCCTTTCTCAGTAAGCATTTTTTGAATGGATGAGTGCTAAATAAATTGATTATTAAACTCACAAAATACCTCAGTTCTTAGTAAAGAAACAAGGTTCGTTCACATATTGATAAAACCATCAAATCACAGGAGCAGAAGATAACAGATTGCTAGGAAATGAAATGTAATATTTACCCCAAACACTTATTTTTTAAGTGCTGGTCAGTTTCTGAGCATTAGGCACTTAGGAAGCAGGTTGAGTGACCCCTCGTACCCTGGTCTGGTCCTGGAACTTGCTGCCTGCCCCGCTGGCTTTGGCCTGGGTCTCTGTGATTAGTTCCTTAAGTGACAAAGCATCATCTTTTCTCAAGGAAAAGCCCACATTTCTCAGCATTAACAGGATCAGTTCGATATCTTTCTCTGTGAAAGTTCCAATAAGTTTTTTCAAAATGTCGAAGATGAGGAGAGACTGTACCACGTGGAAGTTATACAAATGTGCAATGATGGTGAATAGGTTGTCACACTCTTTGCCCTCGGTTCCCTTTTTATAGATGTCATCAAACTTCCTCACCACGGCCTCCAGAAAGTGAGCTCCAACCTGCACAAAGAAAACAGACCAGATGTCATCGCCAACACCTGACAATCGTGGCAGCAAGTTACTCTCAGGGATCCTTCTTTTGAAAAAGCTTAAATGTTTATGCTGAAAGAGTCAGTACAGCACTCATTCTGAAGCGCAGGCTGAGCCTGGAGGAGGAGGTGGAAGCAGGAAACCCTGGGGGAGGGGTGCAGGTTAGTGGGGCTGGTTAAATTGTGGGTGCAGGTGAATTCAACTAGACAGGTTAGGGTCAATATACACATTTCATTGCCAAAGTGCAAAAACTAAACGTTAGAAGACTCCAGAGAAAAGCACTGATGGGCAGGAGGGAACGATGACTCCACAGAGATGAGTGCCAATGGACTGGGGATATTCTTTAGTTTATAAATAACTTTAGCCCTAGCCGGTTTGGCTCAGTGGATAGAGCGGTGGCCTGCGGACTGAAGGGTCCCAGATTTAATTCCAGTTAAGGGCACATGCCTGGGTTACGGGCTTGATCCCCACTAGGGGGTGTGCAGGAGGCAGCTGATCAATGATTCTCTCTCATCATTGATGTTTCTATCTCTCTCTCTCCCTCTTCCTTCCTCTCTGAAATCAATGAAAATATTTTTAATAAATAATTTTAACCTGTCAACTCCCCACTCAAACTCCATCACTAAAGATAAACTTGAGGAGCATACTATGACTACTACATTATGTTCAAATATAACTTAAAAACGAGAAATTCTGAAGACATCAAGAAAAAACCAACTTTGCACATGGTCATCACTGGAAATGGTCTCAAGCAGACCATCTCTACTGCAGCCTCTGCAGTATTTTACATAAATTAGATCTGGCACTGACCTCCACTGGGTGCTGGGTCTAATTTATGTTATGCATTAAATACACTCAAATTGAATGTTTTCAACACAGGAATGGATTTAATTATATCAAATTTTCAACTTATTTGATGTCTTCAAAATAAAATATAACTTAGTGTAGCATTTAAAAATAGCAATACTGTTCATGTTACTGAAGTTATTTAAGCACATACATGAATTCCAATGGGATTTTAACACAAATCTGATGTTTTATTTTTAAGTGGCTCAAGAGCAATTCAGTGACTCACGCCATGGGCTTCGTGACCCACTCTGGACCCATGAGGACCTTCCTGGCCCCATAGAACTGGAGTTTAATGGGCGCGGCATCTGGAGAGCTCATCGCTCTGGCACAGGTTTCAGGGGACGCCATTAGCTGAAGCACCATAATGGCTTCCCTGGAACAAGTCTTTCTGGTGTCCTTCATGCTATGTGTGAAGGTTGAGAAGTGGACCAATAACCTCATGTTTTCACGTCCAGTGGTCAGCGTCTATGGCTTTTATGACTCAGTGAAATTCTGTCTTAGGCAAAACCATTTGGTTTGTGGAGGATCCTGGTCAGACACAGGAGGGTGGGGGTTGGGGGTTGGGAGTCCTGGAACAGCGCCAAGTCGTGGCAACACAGGGCAGGAGGAAGGCGCCCGGGCCGTCACACTCTGCAGGGAGGAGCGGGACTCGCCGTGGTGAGGATGAGTCGCTCTCAGAAACAAAACCCTGACTTCAGAAGGCCGACTCCCTAAGCAACCGGTGCACATGAAGCCTGAGCTTGTCCTCTGCCCGCGTCCCTGGTGCCCACACACCCTGCACGTGCCACCTTGCCGGCAGAAGTTAACTACCTGTAATGAGCACGTATCCAGGCTCCCGAGGACGCTCGCTACTGGTAAAACTCGCTAGACCAACTGTAGAGGCAGAAACAGGGGCAGGAGCCGAGCTCTGGCCGCGGGTAGCCTCTGCCCCACACTGCCGTCACTGTGGGACCCTAACACCACAAAGGAGACTCACTGTGGCGAGTCTGTGTGTGGTACCGTAAGAGCCCCGCTCTGTAAACCCCAGTGATTCTCCAGACTGGGACTGAGAGAGCAAAGACCAGCACATGAAATGGCTGTAAGACCAGGGCTGTGAGCGACAGCTGGCCCTGGAGCCAAAGCATGTCCCTGCCCTGCCCCAGCTCATGGGCTGGGACATCACACAGCTCCTCTGGCTTTGCTGAACTTGCAAAGTGGGGTCCAATCAACGTCTGCCCTAAGTATCCCGCTGGGAGACCACAAGGACCCTGTAGCGAGGACATGGAGCCTGGATCACACTGGGCCTCCTGCAGCGGTGCTTTGCGGCCAGGCCTGTTCTCGGGATGGGCTATCAGAAGGTAAAGAAACCAAACCCACCATTAAGACTGTCCCACACAAAGACCCAAAGGCATCCCCAAGTTCTTCCTTGCACAGAAACCCCACCCGCTAAGTAAGCATCATGGCCGACTCACCACCCATTCGCCTCCCCTTGTCTGCACTCTGGAAGTAGACCCCTTCCTTCAACAACCCTGGGATTGGCCACATGGAGGGAATGGGGTGCTGACTTGGAGGGTGATGAAGGGGTGGGGACAAGGACACTCAGCGGCACTGACTAGGCACCAGAGTTGTGCAGGACCCCACAAGAAAAAGCTGCCGCAGCCCCGCCTCAGATGAGGACACGGGCACCGAGGTCTGGGCCTGCCTGCTGGCTCCAAGCCTAGGCTTGTCACTGTCTCCTCACGGGGGTCCAGCTTTACCTGACATTCTGGTGGCATTCTTACTTATGAAAAAAAAAAAGAAAAAAGAAAGAAAAAAAGATCTTCCAACCAGTACAAACACCTCAGAGGTAAGATCACACCCCCTCTGCCTTCTGAACTCCTGAAATGAGTCAGTGTTCCAGGGGAAACACGAGGAAAATGAAGGCAAGTCCGAGACGTAAGCCCAGAGGAAGATAAACTAATAAATAACAAACACTTGTTAGGATGAACCCCGCACAAAGGCAACCGCTGACCAAAATCAAGTATTTTCTGGATGTGGTTTAGAATATGACACACACCAGACTGCTGGCCGTTAAAGCAGGCACCGCTGAGACCCGCTGCAGCCTACCTCGATGCCCACTGTGTGGTGCAGGGTGCTGACCAGGAGGACGTGCTCCATCACCAGCCTGCCCGGCATGGCCGTGCCCGGAGCACAGGCGCTCATGAGGATGCCCGTCAGGGTGTCGTTCATGTCCTTCCTGCTGTGGGCCATGTACAGCTCCTCCAGCTGCCCACTGATGGAGGCCATGTTCGGCTCACTCAACCTGCAGACAGTTGTAAAGACAGAGCTGCAGTGACGTTTCAAATTAGGAATTACTTTTTAGGGCAGTTAAAAAAACCAACAGAAAAAGCTCTCAATACCACCAATGTCCACGTCCTAGTTCATGGACACGCTGCCTCACGAACAATGCTTACCCTGCCCCAACAGCCCCGCATATACGAGGAGGACACAGTCCTCTGGAACCCTGCAAAACCGTGACTGCGGTTTTTCCTTTCCGGCTGAAATGCAGCCACAGTGAACACACAGGACTGCCCCTAAGACCGATGCTCCACCTGCACGCTAACCATACGTCCCCAGTGGAGGACACACTGGGCCCCCTTAAGACCAGACGGTGCTGAGGATGCTGCACGGGAACCCTGCCCAAGGTCCGCAGGGAGCCATCCTTGCACGGCAGTATGTGCTGTTGGGAAAAATTCCCACATCCCATTTTCCTGCCGATATGAAAATCTCGGGCTCCTAAACATGAGGAAAGGCTGCCCTGTTTCCTGGGTGGAGAAGGAAGGAATCATGTGCACACGGAAGCTACGCACTGCACCTGTGCTCACTATGTTCTGCCCTGGCTGGTGTGTCTAAGTAGTTGTAGCGTTCGCTGGCCCATGCACTGAAGAGTTGTGAGTTCAATTCCCAGTCAAGGGCACGTAACTGAGTTGCAGGTTCAATCCCAGCCCTGGTTGGGGCACGGCCCCCCGCTCCCTCTGCTCTCCCTTTCACTCTCTCTAAAAATAAATGAAAAAAATATCCTTGGGTGAGGATTAACAACAACAAGCAAAATTTCAGGATGCACCATGGAAAGTGTTTTGTTTTCATCAGAAAGAAAAATTTTAAAAAGCAATGGGGGGCGGGGACGATAGTGGTAGCAGGAGAGCCATGGGCACTGGCTCTGTTCTGTCTTGAGCATGGGGTGGCACTGCAGAGCTGCACACACACACACACACACACACACACACTCGGAATGAGCCTGGGGTGGAGGACCACGCTCCTGCCTGGAGGGCCACCTTGGACCATGAACTGGCTCTGCAGGGAAGAGGGCCAATCCTGCTGCCCCTGCTCCAGGACTTCTCAGAATAACCAAGTGGGCACCTGCATTGCTTTTAAACTCTGACAGGTTCAATGTACCAAAGAGAAGAGGTGAGGATTAAAAAAAAGAAAAATAAATAAGCCAATCAGTGGCCACAGTCCTGCCCCCTCACTGTGTTTTAATTCCTGGGATAGTTTCTGTATATTTATTTATTTTTAAAATACATTTTTTACTGATTTCAGAGAGGAAGGGAGAGGGGGAGACAGATAGAAACATCAATGATGGGAGAGAATCACTGATAGCTGCCTCCTGCACACCCCACCCTGGGGAATGAGCCCACAACCCAGGCATGTGCCCTGGCTGGGAATCGAATTGTGACCTCCTGGTTCATAGGTCGACGCTCAACCACTGAGCCATGCTGGCCGGGCTAGCTGTATTTTTAGAAAACAGACAATCTCTTTCAGTGACAATGTAACAGTGTTTCGGGGTTACCTGTTAATTAGGCCTTGGACATGCTTCTTTAGCCGTTCTCTCTCTTCCCTTTTCTGGGTAGCCACTGTCTCCTCAGCTCGCAGCACATGAGGGGGGAGATACTTTCCCGCATTTTCACAAAGACTCTGCTAGAAAGGACAGAAGTTAGTTACAAAAATGTACACTGAGCAAACCCCCTTTGCTGCGCTCACAGAACTGGCAGAGCTGTAACCATTGACAGCTGCTTACTAAACATCAGCACCCGCGGAGCGCCCCTCTGCACCTGTGGGCTCACCGTTGGCGCTGTCAATACGTCTCCCATTCATTCTGTTTTCCATCTGTAGTGCGAACTGGCCGTGTCCCTCTGATCTGCGGACAGAGCCCTACATTCTACACTTGGCCCACGTTTACTTTCTGGGGACAGAACAAACACCAAATGTACCACCAGTTTTGTAGGGAAAGTGTTCTAAAATAATTCCAAACTGCCCTGGCCAGGTGGCTCAGTTGGGTAGAGTGTTGTCCCATACGTCAAAAGGTTGCAGGTTTGATCCCCAGCCAGGGTGCATGCATTGATGTTTCCCTATCACATCAATGTTTCTTTCTCTCTCTCCCCCTTCCCCTCTCTAAAAATCAGTAAAAAAAATGGTAATTTCCAACTTGTTGAAAACTAGTATCTAAATTTACATGCTAAAATCAAAATCAACCACTGCTCACTAGCTCCTAGCGTATCAACTGCAAGGATTACAAATTGTGATCACTGGCCAACACTCCCTGGGCACCCGAGGGACAAGCCTTTAGGAAACATCTATAATCACGGCCCTTGGTGTTAGTGACTTAAGCCTACTGGCGAAAGCACTGATGTACATGGAAACGGTTACACTTGAGAAACGCTTAGTTCACACTGTACGCCAATGACCTCAACGGCCTGGGGAAGAAAACCAAGACTAGTGAGAAATAACGTTCTAAGAGGAACTGCAGCACTCGGACCTGCTCACAAAGCGCTGGGCCACAGGTACCAGGGAGAGAAGGGAAGGCAGCGTGCTGCCGAAGATGGAAAGAGTCAGAGGACGTGGACATCACCTAGATAAACACCAGTGAGAAAGTGAGGAGAAGCCTTGCAAGCAGAAGTAATCTATTTAGAGGAAGATGATACAATACAGCGGCCCCTTTATTGGCAGGGGATCCGTTCCGAGCCCCCGTGGATGCGTGAAACTGCAGATAGTACTAACCTTTACCCTTCAAGGAAGCGCTTGGTGCTTCTTTTTGGCACATCCAAATTGCCAGCGTCACTATGCATACACTTTGGGGCCATTAAGTGAAGTAGGGCTATTTGAACACAAGCGATGCAATGCTATGACAACTGATCTGAAAACTCGGACCGTACGGCTACTCAGTGACTCAAAGGTGGGTAGCAAAGAGTGTGGGTGATTCCTGGATGGAGCACAGCATGAGATTCCATCACCCTTCTCCGAACATTTAAACTTAAAACTTACGAACTGCCCGGTGGGCGCGCTTCAGTGGTTGATCATCGACCTGTGAACCAGTAGGTCATGGTTCAATTCCTGGTCAGGCACGTGCCTGGTTTGCGGGCTCGATCCCCACTGTGGGGCGTACAGGAGGCAGCCGATCAACCTCTCTCCCTCTCCATTCCTCTCTGAAGTCAATAAAAATATATTTTAAAAATCCACTTATGAAATGTTTCTTTGTGTAACTTTTCATTTAATTATCTTTGGACCATGGTTCACAGCAGGTGACAATCCACAAAAAGCAAAACTGTGGGTAAGGGGCCACGTGGTGAGAAGGCAGCGGGACTTCCACTGACGCCGGGCAGGGAGGGCACAGGTGGTGAACCGGGCCTGCAGTGTCAGGCTACTGAAGTGAGTGCTGGCGCCTCAGACTCCCCGGAGCAGAGCAGCCGGAGCGGCCGGAGGAAAAGGCAGGCAAGGGAGGGGGGTCAGGAACGGAGCAAGGGGAGGGGCCCAGCCAGGTGTGGAGACCAGGAGGGAGATGTCCTCTTAGGGCACCCGGGGGACTGGCCGTTTAGTCCCGGGATGAAAGGCCTCTAGGGCACCCCTCTCCTAGCGCTTCACTATGGGAACTTACACGAAAAGCAGGCAGAGCCGACCTACCCTCCCAGGCCAAATACACCGCTGTGCCCCGAGCTCCACGCTCCGTCCTCGTCACTGAGCAGGGACTGGTCACTCGTTACCTGAACGGCTGCGTCCACATCCTCCCGGGAATTTTCACTCGTTTCTTCGTCTTCCGCAAACCGGACTCTCCTTCCGCCCGATTTCTTCTTCGCTCTCCCCTCTGCCGCTGCTTTCTGCGGCTCTTCCTCTGGCGCGTCCTCCTGCTCCACGCCCCCGTCCTCGGCCTCACTCCCCGCGTCGCCTCCGTCCTCCGAGTCACTCCCCGCGTCGCCCCCGTCCTCGGCCTCACTCCCCGCGTCGCCTCCGTCCTCCGAGTCACTCCCCGCGTCGCCCCCGTCCTCGGCCTCACTCCCCGCGTCGCCTCCGTCCTCCGAGTCACTCCCCGCGTCGCCCCCGTCCTCGGCCTCACTCCCCGCGTCGCCTCCGTCCTCCGAGTCACTCCCCGCGTCGCCCCCGTCCTCGGCCTCACTCCCCGCGTCGCCTCCGTCCTCCGAGTCACTCCCCGCGTCGCCCCCGTCCTCGGCCTCACTCCCCGCGTCGCCTCCGTCCTCCGAGTCACTCCCCGCGTCGCCCCCGTCCTCGGCCTCACTCCCCGCGTCGCCTCCGTCCTCCGAGTCACTCCCCGCGTCGCCCCCGTCCTCGGCCTCACTCCCCGCGTCGCCTCCGTCCTCCGAGTCACTCCCCGCGTCGCCCCCGTCCTCGGCCTCACTCCCCGCGTCGCCTCCGTCCTCCGAGTCACTCCCCGCGTCGCCCCCGTCCTCGGCCTCACTCCCCGCGTCGCCTCCGTCCTCCGAGTCACTCCCCGCGTCGCCCCCGTCCTCGGCCTCACTCCCCGCGTCGCCTCCGTCCTCCGAGTCACTCCCCGCGTCGCCCCCGTCCTCGGCCTCACTCCCCGCGTCGCCTCCGTCCTCCGAGTCACTCCCCGCGTCGCCCCCGTCCTCGGCCTCACTCCCCGCGTCGCCTCCGTCCTCCGAGTCACTCCCCGCGTCGCCCCCGTCCTCGGCCTCACTCCCCGCGTCGCCTCCGTCCTCCGAGTCACTCCCCGCGTCGCCCCCGTCCTCGGCCTCACTCCCCGCGTCGCCTCCGTCCTCCGAGTCACTCCCCGCGTCGCCCCCGTCCTCGGCCTCACTCCCCGCGTCGGCAGGAGGGCGGCAGCGCAGGGAACCGCGCAGCCAATGTGTCCCAGTCTCAGAACGGATTGTAAACCGAGAAGCCGGGTGCAGGACGCGGCCTCACTTCCCACGCGAAAGCCCCGCAGATCGTGGTGGAGGCTCCGCACGCCCTGCCTCGGAGGGGCCGTGCTGGTCGCAGGGCGGGAGTCTTCACCGGGCGCTTTACCGGGTGAGAGCATGCCCTAGGAAACTGCCCTGTTGCTCCTCCGTGTACTGATGGGGATCTTCGTGCTCAGCTTGTGTTCTGAGACGTGTCCACTCACGCCCGGCCTCCATGTCTCTGATGCCGTGTGATGCTTCTCCTGGGGGTGCTCCACCATTCACTCCTCTGCGGAGAGACATGCACCGGTGAACCAGCGTCCCCGAGGCCGTGCCTATGGGAGCAGTGACCTTATTCGGGAAAGGGCTTGTGCAGATGTAATCAAGCTCAAAGGAGGGCTTGGATTAGGGGCCCTAATTGCAGTAGGGTGTTCCTATAAGAGGGAAAACGACTCACTCCCAGGCAGAAGGCCATGCGACGGGGACGGCGTGGGTATGTGTGTGTGTGTGTGTCAGTTTCCAAGCCAAGGAACAAGGATAGCTGGCCACACCAGCAGCTGGGAGAGACCGGGGCTGATTTTCTCCTGCAGCCCCAGGAGGAGCCCACCCTGCCCGCACCTTGATTTCTGGGGATGAGTATTTGGAGCCCCGTAGGCTGGACGAGCTTCAGTGTGGAGAGCTCTGGTCGCTGCCCACCTGCCTGGACCACAGTCTCCTAAGCTCCTGGAGAGAAGCGCCAGTGGGGGAAGGAACTCCCAGCTGCAGCCCGCAGTCTGTGGGCTTGGAGCAGGAGGGGGGTGGGGGTGCCTGGGGCACTGGCCTGCCCCTGCATCCTTGGTACCTCCCATCTCAATGCCGACTGGTGGGGCCATGGCTGATTTCTGCCCAGAGGGCCTGGGGACCAGTATGCAGGGCTGTGCAAGGGAGAGGCAAGAATAGCCTTGACAAAGCTCATCTTCCGCCCTAGCTGGGGCTCAGTGGTTAGAGCATTGGCCTGGGAACTGAAAGATCTCGGGTTCAATTCTGGTCAAGGGTACGTACCTCTGTTGCAAGCTCGATCCCCAGCCCCATTGGGGCGCGTGCCAGAGGCAACCAAACAATGTGTCTCTTGCACATCTATGTTTCTCTGTCTCTCCCCCTCCCCAAAGAATCCATTGATTCTTTCTAAAAATCAATGCAAAAAATATCCTTGGGTGAGGATGAACAACAACAACAAAAGCTCATCTCCATCTGTGCCCACTCCTCTAGTGCTGCATACACTCAGCACCCTCGCCACCCCCACCCTGTCTCTGCAGGGTCTGCCTCCTGTCGTTACACCCTGGAGCCCATGCCTCTCTCTCATTCAATGATTTCTCTGGTGCTAATTGGGAAGAGGGAGTCAGTCACCCTTTCTGCCACACCATTTGACAGGAACCAAATGAATTAAGCCCATTTATTCCCACAGAGTGCTTAGAATGGGGTCTGGTACACAGTAGCTGTTCAGTAAATGAATGTCAGCGCCCTCCCCAGGCCCCCTCTCCAGGCATTCGGGGCAGTTGGTGGACAGGAAGTTCTGCTTCTCTGGTCCTGGTGAAAGGGCTGGTTGCAAACATGAAACAGTCCATTCATGACACAGGGGCTGACAGGTGTGCAACAAGGCAGGTGGCAGGGCCAGAGTGCTGGTGTGCATGCATGCGTGCATGAGTGTGTGTGTGTGTGTGTGTGTGTGTTCCTACCTGTGTCTGTGCATGCAAGAGATGGCTGGAGAGGTGGGCAGGGCCAGGGGTGAAAGGTCTGGTGACTCTCACTAGGTTTTGTGTTTATTCTGGGAGCACTGGGAACCTCAGTGTTTTAAGTGGACAAGTGGGTAAGAGTGTGGGGGGCAGCAGCCTAAATGGATCTGCATTTGGAAAAGATCGCCCTGCTGCGTGCAGGACTGACCCAGGTGGGTCAGAATGACGGACAGACACTTGTTCCCCAGCCTGGAAAAAACTGTTGGTTGGGGCTTTGCCTACTGGCTCTTTATTTTATTTTATTTTTTAAATTTAATTTTGTTTTATTTCTTAAAGTATTACAAAGAGTATTACATATGTCTCCTTTTTCCCCCCCTTGACATTCCCCCGGCCTCCTCTACCCCCCAGTGTTTTGTGTCCATTGGTTATTCTTATATGCATGCATACAAGTCCTTCGGTTGATCTCTTACTCCCCCCCCACAACCCTCCCCCGGCTTCCCACTGTAGTTTGACAGTCTGTTCAATGCTGCTCTGCCTTTGTATCTATTTTTGTTCATCAGTTTATAATGATCTTTATTATCCATAAATGAGTGGGATCATGTGGTATTTTTCTCGGCTTCCCAGGGGCCGTCGCAGCCTCACAGGGGCCGTTTCGGCCTCACAGGGCCGCACAGGGACTGTCTCAGCCTCACAGGGGCCGTCTCAGCCTCATAGGGGCCGTTTCAGCCTCACAGGGGCCATTTCAGCCTCACCGGGGCCGTCGCAGCTTTGCAGGGGCCATTGCAGCTTTGCAGGGGCCATCGCAGCCTCACAGGGGGCGCCGCATCCCATGTTGGGGGTGAAGGTGTGAGTCAGAAGCTCCTCTCGCTGTCTCTCCTGCTGCTCCCTTGTGTATCGCTGATGCTGGAAGTTTCTGAGAGCAGTCTGCAGGTGCTGGACATCATACTTTAACTGGTCAACATGAAGTTTGGCATTCTGTCCTTTGTTGGGCGGCTCCTTGCTGGACAAAATCTCCAGGCGTTCCTGGTGGCTGAATATCTGGTATGCTTGCTTGGATTTCGTTTTCTACTAAGTGCACAGACTGCTTGTCTGCCGTCTCCCAGCGTCCCATGTGAGACTGGATCTGGTGGGCCTGCTTGTGCGTTTGCTGGTACAGCGGTTCCATGTCACCGGCCCAGCCGGGTCCAGCTTCAGCTTCCTCTGAACCTGATTCTGCTTCTTGAGTGTGTCCCTTATGTATGCGAGGAGTTGAAATCTGCAGTTTGTTGGGTTGGGCTGCAAAAGCGCAGGTGGTTCCTTTGGTGCCACTAACACAGCTTGGGCGGGGATGTAAATTGAGTAGGGCGGGGTCTCTGGGAATCACCAGGGCGGAGCAAAGGGCAATGGCGTCTCTGCGGCTCCGCGTCTCCCCGCGACTGTGCGACTGTGCGTCTCCGCGTCTCCGCGTCCCCGAGTGCCGCGAGCAGCTCCGTGAGACAGCCACTCTTGCTCTCCGACCCGCTGCAAGGCCGTCCTGCCTTTCCCCGTAGGGGTCTGGGACCTCAGAATCCCGCCCCAAACAAGCTCAGCGGATTCGGGAGTTTGTAACCCCTTCCGATTGAAAAAAACCGCGCATCCAGTTGCAGCCCGCCTGGCGCACAACACCGTACCTCCGTTCTTGGGGCCTCTGCCTCTCCTACTCAGTCTCAATGCTCTTCTTTCTTTCCTTCCAGTTGTAGAGCTTCCACTGGGCCAGCTTTCCCATGGTTCTGAATGACAACTGTTTGTCTTATAGTGGTTAGTTTCGATGTTGTTGTGGGAGGCAGCACGCACAGGTCTGTACCTTACGCCGCCATCTTGGTTCTCTGCCTACTGGCTCTTTAAAAATAACAGCATGAATGCTCTGTTAAGAGTAATATAATATACAATGCAAAGTGTCACCTTTACTCAGTGTCTTAGTCCATTCTGGCTGCTGTAACAGGCACCACAAATTGTGTGGCTTACACAGCGGAATTCACTTCTCACTTTCTGGAGGCTGAAATCCGAGATCAAGGCCTGGGCAGATTCCCTGTCTGGTGAGCACCCCCATCCTAGTTCATAGACAGTGTTTCCTCACTGTGTCCTCACACGGTGGAAGGGGAGAGCGAGCTCCCTGGGCTCCTTTACCTGGGCACTAACCACATTCACAATGGCGCCGCCCCCATGGCCTAGTCACCTTCCAGTCCCCACCTCCTGACACCATCACCTTGGGGATTAAGATTCAACATATTGCCCGGTCATCGTGGCCAGTGGTTGAGCATCAACCTCTGAACCAGGAGGTCATGGTTCGATTCCTGGTCAGGGCCCATGATCAGGTTGTGGGCTTGATCCCTGGTGGGAGGCATGGAGGAGGCAGCCAATCGGTGATTCTCTCTCATCATTGATGTTTCTGTCTCTCTCTCTTTCCCTCCTTCCCTTCCATTCTGTCTAAAAATCAATGAAAAAAATATCCTCAGGTGAGAATTAACAAAACAAAAAAATAAAAATAAATACATGTATTTTTTGCACTATTAAAACATGCTATAGCCAGCATCCCTCTGTGTGTGTGTGTGTGTGTTTGCAGGACCGCGCCAGTGTTTCACAAGGCTATCATCCTAGAAATTGCTTAGGGAAAGTATATAAATCTATATTTTTAATTAACAGGTAATTCCAAATTTTTAATCCACTTCTGTGCCAGCTCATACTCAAATTGGGAGTGACAGCCTGTTCCCCACGCCCCCTCCTTCATAGACTTGTCTCTGGGTTTTCACCTCTGCCCATTTGCTAGGTGAAAGGTCAGCATGGAGATGCCCTGTGATAGGGGATGGAGTGGGGGGGCCCTAGGCTGCAAGGCCACCTAAACCCCCTTCCTCAGCCCCCTTCAGCAGTGTCAAAACAGCTACAGCTGCTCTGAGCCCATAGATTCTTCTGAATTCTGCTCGACTACGCCAATTGTGACCAGGTTCCTTCTCAAACCCTGTCCATTGCACTAACTATTGGGTCCAAGCCCCTCTGCCAGGGACTGGACCTTCTTGGATGCTGGGTCTTAGATGGAGAAGCCATGAGAGGTTGTGGGTGTATAAGAGAGTCTTTAGTGCAGAAGCCAGTGGACATGTAGCCATCAGACACCACAGTCCTTCACAGCAGTCCCATTTAGGCAGCCGCACACCTAAATACATATCCTTCCCACACAGCAGTAGAGTCTCTGCACCCACAGTTATTATCTGAGCAGCCCACACAGCCCCTAGACGCACCGCCTCCCATCGTAGCGGCGCCTGAGCTCTCTGCCTCAGCAGCTTCTGCAGCCTCTCCAGCTTCTCCTGCACACATAGGAGCCTCACCCTCTGAGCCTGCCTCAGCTTCTCCAGCACACCCCTCTAGCTGGTCAGTACCATGTGTTATACCATGAGACAAAGGAGGCCTCTACTCAGTAATGACATCAATCACTGGGATTATAGAAGAGCACAGTGCACCGTGAGGTCGCTGTGGCCTTGCAGCTGCTTACGGTATCTTAGCTTTGAACATTCTGATTAAGATTCCCATGTTCAGAGTGGCCTTGGCTGTTGGCGTACTATCAACAAGGCCTTTTACCCTTTGAGTTCCCTTGACTGTCCGACGACTCTGGCGTGGTTCCCACAACCAGCCAGCCACCGAGCCACAACCCAGGTGTCTTCCCACACATCCATCCCATCAATCCTCATGGAGAACATTTGGGTAGACCCTGGGTGCTACCCAGTCTCTTGGCCCACCCTTCTGACCGTAATCC